GCACAGTAATGGTCCTACTTGTCCAAATTACAGTCAACATTGGGAATGTAGTATGGTTCCGTATTTCTCCAAAATGTACAAAATTAGAGATACAACAAAGACAAAATTGGACAAAATTTTGTTAAATATAGACGAAATTTTGTACGGAATAATTTTCTTTGAGTCCCATGCCACATTTATGTCAGATGAGAATTGAAAATTCAAAATTTCTCATAAATTCCAACCTTTATCTTCTTCTTCTTCTTCTTCTTCTTCTTCTTCTTCTTCTTCTTCATTTCTCGTCGCTTCGCTTCCGCCGCTTCCACTGCTTCCAACGCTTCGACTGCGACTCCCTCTCTTTATACCCTCACGAACACTCTCCAACGCCGCTGGGAGTAAAAATGCCGCAATCAGATTTCGTTGTGGTCATCAAAAGGGATGCTCATACCGGCACGGTAAGATTTCATTTGAATGCATATGACTAACACATGCATGCTTGGCTTTAATCTCGATTTCATGATTTACAGGTCATTCCTTCTCGCTATCATCCACGAGAGGAGAGATTGGATATATATACTCGGATTGGGTGCTATCCAGTCCGAGTTGTTCTTGGAGATGACGGCAAGCATCGATTCGCTGCCGAGAATGGATGGAGATGCTTTCTCCATGACCACCACTGCCAAAATCTTTGGCATATTCTGTTCAAAAAATTATCAGAGGCAGCATGCAAAGCCATTGTGATTTCGACCCTTGGTTCAGAAGTTGACTACCCAATAAGAATTCCTGATTATGATTCTGGTAAGACTTTGAAATATGGTATATTTTACCCGCCCTCCCCGAATTCTTTCTAATTCTAACTATAAATCTATAATGTATGCGGTGATTTGCAATTATCAGATGAAGATGATGTTACAGATGATGATGATGACGTCTTTGTTTGCAAGTTGGAAGAATCGCACTTTCGGGAGTCATTCGAGAAGCTGGTATGCTTTTAAAATATCATTTTTAATAAACAATATCATTATCTGATCTTTTTGACCTTTTTGACCAAATTCGACCCAATTCGACGTATTTGACCTTTTTGACCAAATTCGACCCAATTCGACGTATTTGACTATTTTGACCAAATTCGACCAAAACACGGAATTTTTGTTTGGAATACATGGTGTATTCTCCTCCATCAATTAATGACTTTTAATCCGTTATTGTCTCAGCCCTTAAGTGAAGAATTTTGCGAAGCAAATGGCTTTGTAGAGGGAAAAACAGATGTCACTCTCATAGGA